AAGTGACTCCGGGCGGTGTACAACAATTAAATAAAATAAGTGAATAAAAATAAGCATTATAAAAAGATTAAAAGTTATTATAATAAAAGCATTATCACAAATTTTTAAAAAATTAAAAAATGTATATGGTCTGCAATATTTTTTAAAGGATAGGTTCTTTTCCCTTCCAGGGCTTGCATTTCACAGAATCTCAAATCTGCCCATGCACAATACTGCACAGCAAACATTCAAGGACCTGTATGCAAGGTCACACAAATATTGTCTATGTTACTTGTTTAGAAATGGCTGCCATTCTTTTGGGGGGAATCATAGTTATAGACTGAATCTCTATTTTATCCATGCACATGCATTGTTTGTTGCAATGCTGTTTCCTTTTTAATCAGTTTTCTTTACACCTAAGCAGTAATCTGTGTGAGAGGAACTTGAGTTGAACTTGTGTGGCATTTGTTCAACATTACAAACCATTTCTCTGCAAAGCCATTTGTGGCTCTGGTGATTTCATTTCCACAGCACTGCAGAGCATTCCAGATGATGGTTTGCAGAGCAACTTAAAGAAAATAGAGTGACAGCCTAATGCACTAGGTGAGCCACAAATGCTTCATAACACAGAATGGCTGTCGGAAAGATTTAGGTTACATTCAAATGCTTGTCTGAAATGGACCCAAAGCGATGTTAAAGGAGGAGTTATAGGAGTCGGAGGTCGGCTGGCTACTTGTAGCATCAAGCAAATGTGCCTGAATCTCCTACTTCACCAAAGAGAAGACCAGTGGCTTGGTTTATGCAATTTATACAGAGTAAGAGACTGTGAATTCTCCCTCTCAATTTTTTTTTTTTTTACATTTCCAAAATTGCATTTAGAGTCATAACTACTTGTAGCTGAAAATACAAAACAGGGATCAGAGGAAGGATTCTGTACAGATAAGCTTCTCGAAAACAAGTATGTGTATGTCTGTCGTCATGTCTGAGTACCTGTGATTAGCAAATTCAAACGAGCAATGCAACATCTATTCATAAAAAGGTCTCCCATCTCTGTTTTGTTAGGAGGGTCCAAATCATGTCTTTGTGTTTAAAAAGCCAAGATTTTAACAGTACTGATTATGTCAGCAGTTCCTATAAGTGCTGTTATCAAGGCCATTTCTATTCTCCTTTGTATAGAGTATGATATGAGAGGAGAAAGTATGTGCAAATTCCCTCTCTGAAAAATTACACCACTTTTCTTTTTACCAGTGAGAATTATATTTGGCACTGGCAGCTAACCTGGAACTGGTAAATAAGGCAAATGAACTCTTCCAGCAGTGAGTATATAAAAGCCCAATCCCTTGATTTTTTTTTTTTTTTGGACTAGCACCACCAGAGATGAAAATAGTCAACTTCTGAAGGCTGAGTAGCCCTGTAAACACACGACACCCTATTTCATTGAAGGCATGTTGTCCACCCTGCTACATTTCCGTCCAACAGTATTGCTGCTTTTTCCATCAAATAGGCTCCCTCTCTGCCACACGCGCGCACACACACACACCAGCAAACAGCATCTGAGTGGGAGGAATGGAGTCCAGCTTTGCCTTGAACTACCTCCAGGGTTCTCTTGTTGCCCAGGCCTCCAAGTTATCTTTGTTGCCATGGAGACCACCTTGAGCACAGAGTTGGTTTGTTCCAAGCAGAATCTTTGTTAAGAAGGGCCTCAAGGCCTTGGGTGTTGTGAAGGCTGCGGGAGGATTAAGCAAAAAAACCCACACTATCTCATTCCTGGCTTTTTTCTCTTAGCTGCGGCAATATGAATGGCTGAAAAGCAGGAAAACAAAATAATGGATGCAGGATTCTGTGTTCATCTTAGTGCAACACGCCATGGAAGGTTCCACTCACGCCAGCTGTTTCTCATGAGAAGTGGCCCAAGACATCTGTTCAGCAGCTGGTCCAGTCCACACCTCGTCCTTAAGGATAACTCCCCATTTAAACTCCTTTTGAATTTGGTTGTGAGATAGTGAATGTTTCCTTTTTTTAAAAAAGGAAGAGAAATGATCCTTGCAGGGTTTCCTGTGGTGTAGCAACTGATACCAGAAGGGCCATATTTACGTTAAAAAAAGGGACCAAGCTTTTGATTGCAGATTTTTGGCCATCTTGTTGACTTTTTTGACCCACCTGCAAATACACACACCCTGATGCCCCTGGTCATAGCGCTATGTGGCTGGAGTAACTGTTATGACAGCCAAGGGAAAAGTGATCTGCTCTGGAGGAAGCTCCCTACCTTGATACTTGATCAGGGATGGATGCAAGGCTGATGCTCATCAACTGCTGTAGTAGGCATGCAGGCACCACATCCTAAAGCAGAGATGGGAAACCTATGGCCCCATGGCCCAAGAAGCTCCCACATCCCATTTTTGTGGTCCTCGCAGCCCCCACTGACCACAACTGCTGAAAACTGACACCAGTTTCCTGCAATTTTGGATTGAGAAATAGATGAAAATAGTAATACAAGGCCTAAAATAGGTATGTCACCAATTAAAAACAAAGGAAAATCCTAACTCTTCCTACAACCAAGCCATTTGAGGTGGCCATGCCCATTTTACCATTCTCAGGCTCCCCCCAAATGTTTAAATGTGGTTCTTGGCCACCCCAAAATTGCCCAACTCTTTATCAAAGGAACTGAGATAAAGATGTCCTAAATCTAGTGACAGCTACTTTTAGCCTTCTATAACCCCTTTCTCAGCACACCGCCCCCCCCCCGAAAGCACAAAGAAAAATATAGCAATGAGAGATGTTTTAAAAAGCTTTGGATTGTCTCTTTTACAATACTTTTATCTGTATTTATAACTGCATTATTATTTGTGTCTGCTGCCTTGAGAGTCCAATTTGGGGGCTTAATGGTGGATTAAATATCCAAAAATAAACAGAATAAAATTCCTCACAGATTTTCTCTGTTTGTGGAAAAGATATAGTGCCAGTTAATGCATGTTTCCATCTGAGGTGCCAGACTTCATGATATCATGCCCACAGATTCTTATGCTTTAAGAACAGGTGGAAAATTAAGAAAAAAATGGTATGAGAAAAAGTGTATTATTGATTATATCAAAAGTCCCAGCAGGTTTTGGAGGAATAGCTCTTTGTCAGGGGTCTGAAAAAAAAGATGAAGTTACACGTTTACAATGTATGAAATGAGTTTCAAATATGCCTAAAGCATATATTAATATATGCAGAGAAAACATATGTATATGTAACCCCTGCAAAAAGGGAAAAATTAATATAAATAAATGTTAAAAATACAAAACATGCATATGCTTGTTTCATAAATTGTAAACATAGCATTTTATTTTTTCAGTCAATAAAGAGAGATTCCTTCAAAGTGCATTGGGACTTTTGGTATAATAAATACATTTATTTCTCACACCATTTTCCCCTTATTTTCCACCTTTTTGATTGATTCTTTCCTCTTGTTGCTTTACAGCCAGCCAGAATTTCACTGAGCTAATGAAATTGCATCTTCATCATTAACTGCCAGAAGAAGGTAGATTTTATCTACAACTGTACTCAGTGTTTTATTTCTCTGCTTTTATTTGGGCTTTGTCTGAGAAAAAAAAGTGTTTTTCCCTGCACTGACCTTTTTTTAAAGGTGTCATGTCAATTTCCATGTGCTCAAACCATGTGCCAATGATGCCAGACTTTTTAAGCACAAAAGTTGCTATTCTACCTTACCTTAGGCACTGGCAGTAGGTGAGGCATAGTAATGGGTAGTGATTACTCCCCTGAGACTAATGAACAGGGTAGGTATACTTATACACAGCATACTGTTTAATTCAACAAGGTAAAACATAAGACCTTAAGGACTTATCAAGCAACTGCTAACTCTTGTCCGTGCTTACAATTATAGTCATTTCTAAAGCAAGGATATTATATTAATATATGTACAGTAGTAAAGTGCAGCCCCTGACATAAGCCCTTCTATTTCATTTCATTTTCTATTGTGACAAGTACTGAGGGAAACGTAACAGAACTACTCTCCAGTTATACATGGCTGAAATGTGTGTCCACATCTATGCCATTTGCTCCTCCTTGGTCCCATGCTGTTTTGGGGATACTTACAGTCATAATAGCTGGCAGCAGATATATGTATTTGTTTAACTGATGTCCATCGAATAGATGGGGAGTTGATATTTTGGAATTATGGTTTCTCTACCCAACTTACCAAATAAAGAATTGGCTCCTCAGTTTGAATGGGGACACTGAAGAGTAGGCGCTACAATTGAGGATAAATACATTTTATATATCTTATCACTTTACAGGACATTCTACACTCTACTGCAATATTTCTTAAAGTTTTTTCTCTCGGGACCCATTCCCACTTTTAAAAATGATGGAGGACCCCAAAAGAGCTTTTGTTTGTATAGGTTATACTTACTGGCATTTACTGTATTAAAAATTAAAATTGATGCATTCGCTGCCACTACTGCTTCTCATGATTGACAGGATTTTAATATTGTATTATTTTTCAACATAGGCTGGCAAATAGTTTTGATTCTGCGGACTCCTGAGAGGGTTGTGTGGGATCCCCAGGGGTCCTTAGACCACACTTTAAGAAACACTGCTCTGCTGAGTTGTGTCATGTGCTACACAACCCATTGTATTTACTGTGTAGTCTTTCCCAACCTATTGCTCTCTAAATATTTTGATTACATTTCCCATTGCTTTTATCATATCTTTTAGCTGTGCCAACAGGGAAGGATGTAATTAGTCCAGCCTATTTGGAGAGTTGGGTAAACTGTTGTTAACAGTATTTATCAGGAAATAATTATAATAAGAAAATGACGGTATTAAGATGATACACATCTCTCAATGACTCGGACACAAGCTGAAACAGTCGTGCTCATAGCAATTTAATGCTCTATAGCACAACCCCGTAATCTTAGGAGCAGCTATCCTCAAGATAGATTTACAACCTAGCATTCACCCATACCTTCATCTCTGTGCCATGAAAAAAAGCTGTACCTATTGAAGTTCTGCCTGTCAATCTATTTTAAGGCCCAGAAGCAAGGCCAGCAACTTAAACGCGTGTGCACGGACCCATTGACAACGCTAACCGGGCTACAAGGCTTTCTGCTCTGCACGTGCGCCCCTGTCTCGCGCTACCCTCCTTACAGTGCATTCCATTGCAAAAGAAAAAAAAAGTGGAAGGCGACGGGGAAGACACTCCAGCTCTCGCGACCACTCACAGGCATGGGGGAGGGCAAGTGGGCAAGCGCGAGGGGCTCTGGGAAACGAGGCTGGAGGAGGTGGGGGGGAAAGGAACAGAATTCGCAGAGGCCTGTGGGTACGAGGGGGGAGCAGGAAACGGTGCTCTTGCTTGGGGAGGGAAACTTCCGGTTCCGGCCGGGCCTGTGTGAGTTGCAGCCTGGCAGTGCCCCCCTGCCCCCACCCGTGAGGGAGCAGAAACGCCCCCCGCATATCCTGGGGGTAAGGGAAGGGCCAGGGGGCATCCCCCGCTCCAATCTTGCTACCCAAGGACCAGCCCCTGCCTGGGGCGCGGAGGAGGCTGGGGCAGCGCCACACACCGGTGAGTGCCACCATGGACCCCACTCTGCCCCCTAGATCGCCCCCCCCAAATACCTGATCCCGAAGCCGAGAAAAACCCTCGCACAGATACACCGCAGCGCGCGGCTTTTGGTTAACTTCCGCTCCCTTGACCAGCCCCACCCCGGCTATTTTGCGATCCCGACTCACCTCTCCCTCCAGCACACGCTGCTTTCCTGTGTCGCCGTGCTCCGTCTCTTACCACGAGCCTGGCGCGCTTTTCCCGTCTTCTCCCTATTCTCCGTCTTGTATTTTGATAGCTGGCCCCGAACCGAAACCCACGCCTTGCCGTTTTCTCTCCCCACCGGCCCCCGAAAGTTGTGTTATAATCCATTATCTTGATTTCTGCCCCTAAATCAGTTCCGAACTCTGCCACCCTATAGCCCAGTAAACAACTATCCTTCTCCCATTTCATCCTTGAAGCCACCCAGAGTCATGTAGGGGCGGTGCGCTGTAGACATCGAAAGGATAGCTAGATTCCATATTTTCCATAAAAGAAACCTTTTCCATAAACCTAGCTTGATCCCTTCATCCAGCCTGTAACATATTGTTAAGTCTCTTTTTTTACCCAGAAATTTGCAATTTTGCTGCTTACCTCAAACCTTATCTCACCTCCTCCCCCCCCCCCCTTTTTTTAAAATTGTTTGCATACTCTTTAAAATTTCTAGGAATGTAGGATGGTGCCTCATATCTAATTGGATCTTTGTTCTAACAAATTACTTTGGTCTATAACTACTATCTCCATCTTAGTGCTTAGATGTATTGGGCTGCAACTCCCATAAATGTCATGGTTCCTGGGAATGAATGAATTTGCACTTAGTATAATTGAAGGCAACAAGACTAAGAAGGGTTTCCTGTTTCTACAATGGTGTTGGCTCTTCAGGGATTCAGATAAGCATCCTTCACAAGGATAACTAAAGATACCAGGGTTTAACTGCACCTCCCCAGTTTAGATAGTTCAGTAACAGGTTGCAGGAGGATATACCTTTCAGTCAGCCCACAAGACTCTGCAGTACTCTGCTGTTAGCCTTTATTTTCCCTTGCCAACTTATCTATGTTACTGGAAAGGACATTCCATATTTCTTCTGCCTGCTTTATAACAGACTGTACATTTCTTTCTTTCTTATATAGCTTATTAGTGTCAGGAAGGTACATAATTCCACACTGCAAAATATTTGTTTTCTCTGACTAACTAGACTGGCTCTGTCTTGCATTGCTATATGCAAGATGTTCTCATTTACTTTTTTAGCTAAAATATGCCAAATATTCATTGCATTCCTTTCACCCATTTTCTGTTTGGTGTTCTAGGCTATGTGTACTTCTAAAGCCAACTTTCCTAGACTTTAATATACCTATTATAAGCAATAGCTCTGCAGCATTTTAGGAAGAGATTGCTTTAAGTTGTTTTACCTCAGGTGTTTCTGTAACAAAAGTTGATGCAATTTTGCATTGAAAATCTCCAAACTACCTGTTTGTTCATTTATAAAAACAATATTGATTTCGTTGATATGCTTTTTTTTTTTTTTTTTTTTTTTTTCAGCTCAGCAGGAAAAATAAGGAGAACAGATTTCATAACTGGAAATTTGTTTCTCTCTGGCTCCAAACAGCATTAATTTCCTCCTCAGTGTGTATGCTTTTTTGCAGGATGCAAAATGCATCTGAGGGTATTGTTAGCTGAATTACTCTTCATTTACTTGTTACCTACATTACACTTTCATAACCTCAAACAGATGTCTCTGTTTTGCAAAATAGTGTTGACTCAGTTTGAATTGATCTATAGTGAAGAATTTAAAATACTTCCTTGTTTTAAAAATATATTTTGCCATAGGAAAAAAAAAAGTGTTATCTCCTCATGCTGCTTTTTAAGTGTGGTATTTAATGGGTAAGTCCAGCCAGTGAAGTGAAATCATGATTATTTTAGTTATTCAAAGAGAAGCTAGCAATGAAGTATATGTTATTTAACTGCCAACAATCAAAGGAAAAGTGTAAAATAAAAAATTGAAGTAATAATTCTTGATTTTTACCCAGACCGCAGTTCAAATATTGAGGAGCCCTAGTTCACATCCCTCACTCTGTTTAACCTTAAGTTGACCTCCATGTTCTGCTGTTGCAGCTCTATTGTTTTCAAGAGCCCTCAGCTCTTTTCATCTCTTGCTTAAATTCAGTAAGGCTCTCTAGCCACATTCAGACTGTCCTGGTGTAACTTTATTAACACTTTTGTTGACCTCCCTGACATCTTTTTCTTACTAGTTTGTTGTTCCCAGACCAACTTATGTACATTCACTGGGCCTATGTACTATAAACCTGAATTCTTCCTAATGAGGTATCACATAATTTATTTAATTTATACACCACCTTTTGATCAGAAGATCAGGTATGCTTGGCACTCCCTCCTCCTATTTCCCCCCCACAACAACAACCCTGTGAAGTAGGTTGAGCTGAGAGATAGGCCCAGAGTCATCTAGTGAGTTTGGCTGTGGCTGAATTTGAACCCAATGTCAGTCCAATTCCTTAACCACTATACTGCACTGTTACTAATATCAGTATTTGTATATAGCACAATATTAGGCATTATGCTTTTTCTGTGTTTAGTACAGCTTCTTTGTTGACATTAAATATAGAAGTCTGTGGTAGAACACTCCACTCCCTTTCAGAAAACTGGCCTTTGCTCACTCTTTGCTGTGACATATTCTTCTATCTGAGAATGCTAGGGACTGATTCCCACACTTTCACTGGTTGCATTATACCTCAGTACATTTGCTGAAATAGGAAAAAAATAGGATTAATTCATCCATGGTGATAAAGTGGGATGGAACTGGGTGACAACATTTCCAAAACTTTTGTTTTTAATGGAGTGCTGAAAAGGGCAAAGAAAGAGTGATAATTTGGGAACCTTATTTCCTGAGACCTAACTTTTATTTATTATTAACATTTATAGCTCTCCTTTCTATTTGTATAGGCACTGAACACAACTTACAGCAAAGTTTAAACTAAAGTTTAAAATGGAACCCTGCACAATTAACTGAAAGAAGTATTGAAGGTGAATTCATCAGGCAAGGCAAACTAGATAATCTACACAGAGCTTCTGTTTTTTTACTCTGATTTTTCATTGGGTTGTGTAACCTATCCTATTGTATTGCCTGGCCCCCTTTCTTTGGGCAGAGATCTCCATCTAGCTCACAGATTAAGCTGTTCATGAATAGGAGAAAGCATGAAAGCCACATGTAAATCACTGCATGTGACAACTTCCATCCATGCCACTAGATGCAGGCACACATATAAAAGTATGTTGTTCTTCTACATATATGAAGAAGTGCAGCATATCAGTATGTGTACATGGAGAGGACACAGATATGTGTGAGGATGCCGCTGCAGGCCATGACTTCTTTATGTGCATACACCCTATAAATCACACACAAGGTTTTCATGTATAATTACTGTGTTGTGTTTCATCATGTTCATTTACTGAATGCTAACAAACATGACTGGAGATGGTGGTGATTTACCAAACTGAACTTACTACAGTATATTAAACATAATATATTCCCTGCATGAAGCAAGGGAATCATTTATGACATATATGTACTAGGTCAGAAATGTAAGAAATAACTATATGCCATTCAGTACATGGATGAATGCAGCAATTGGTAAGGTTCACATTAAGGCTGTGCAACATTTTGGAAATAACTTGGAGAAAGTGCTTAGAAGCATGAACATAGAACTTATCTGCGCCTTTCCCAGATTTGCATGGCTGCCATCTGCAGCTGTCATGTAATTCCTGGAAATGAGGTGACTGCTTTTAAAGAGTTGCAGATAGATACTGTGCTTGCTGAAGTGCTATTTTGAAAACAAATACGAAGTATTGTATAGCCCACTTGATCAAACAGTAGTTTGTATTTCCTGCAGTTTTGATAGTCTTGAATGCACACCTAGGCTGTACAGTATCTTTATGGGATTCCTTTGTCTTGGATTGTTGTCCCAGTCCTCCACTCTCTCTAGGTGGTACCCCACCAAATTATGCTGGATTTTGATTTCATAATCCAGCACATTTGAAGATGCCATATTGGGCAAAGCTGCTTTAATAGGAATATATCTTGAAAAGGCAAGGTTTTTCTGTCCTCCCCATAGGCAAATACAATATTTTCATATAATTGATTGTATTCATTTATGATCATGGTTAGTTGTCACAGAAATCATTTGACAGGTGATATAAAGAACCTTTAGTTCAAAGACATATGTTGCTAATAAACTTGCTGGAATGGTAGATCTCTCAGAAATGCCTCCTGAAGTATGTCTTGAAATACTGTAAATGCAAATCAAATAAATATATTTCAGCTTTTTAAAATGGAAGGGCAACATTCATGGCACTCCATGTGTAGGATTGCTGTTCTGTTTGTTTCTCTATTACAGGGTGGTACAAAGATATTTTGTAGAATGTACTGTAGACAGCCACTGTGGGAAATGGGAGGCATAGGTTTCTGAACTCTCTGAAATGAGCCTCCTCTGCATCTTTGCCAGGTTTCCATGACTGCCATTGAATGGTTTGTCCAGTGCATTACTTATATTAAACTTCTGCTTCATGAGTGGGCAGCATATAGTATTCCAGATGTTTTTGGACTGCTATTCCCATCATTCCTGGCAACTAAGCAAGACCTTTGGGGAGACAAACTACCTGAGGCCACATCTAAAGTGTAGTTCTTTACTGAAATCAGATGGATTAGAATATTGTTAAAATATAATTCTTCAAGATAGAAGTTAAATAGACTAACATTCTAGTCTTTTATATGAACTTGGAAAAGAAGAGGAAGAGCAATAATTATGAAGATATTTATTTCTTCATTTTCAAGTGGAGTAGTTGGATTAATTTTTCACAGCAAACCAATGAAGTATCTTGTGAGGTGTAAAACATTATATGGTAAAATTAACTTCACAAGTTGGATCCATGAAAGTTGTGTGATGATATTTGTTTTAGTTGTTAGGTGCAACAGGAATTTCTGTTATAATGTTTCTTCAGCTAATGTTTTCTAACAAGTCTTTTATTTCATTGTTAGTATTTTAGTTTTTTTTTTTAACTTTGGAATTTTTATTTAGTGTGCACTCATATCTAAGCATAGTACAAACAAACAATAAAAGTCACAACACTATATAAATGAGTATCAGCAATATAATCCAATGGTAATCTTTTTAACAGATACACATGTTTATAATTTTGCATTCCCTATTATTTGTATGGGACATAACAGATATCGAATTTTCTTAGGAAAACACAACAAACCACTGTGGAGGTTGCTGATATGGATGTGGATATATATTGCTATACTCTTTCTCCCCTTTCTCTAGGCCGTGCCCCCTCCCGGGTGGAGATGGAAACCAATGCAGCAAGCGATGAGGGTGTGCATTTCCAGAGCTACCCTTTTGACTTCTTGGAGTTCCTGAACCACCAGCGCTTTGAACCTATGGAGGCCTATAACCATGAACACGCCAAAGCTGTCGCTGCCCTCCCTTGCCCGCAGCCACAGTACGAATATGCCCAGCCACCGACAGCTGCTCCACCTGCTCACTTTGACCGTGTCCCTGCCACCATTGGCACGCCTAAGCCCAAAGCTGAGGGCCCGTCCTCCTCTTCTTCCTCAGCCACCTCATCTGGTACCGTTCAAGTCAAGAAAGCTGAACCGGGGGGCCCTGCACCCCCTCCACCCCCACAGCAGCAGCAGCAGCAGCAACCACCGTACAGTACTCCAGCAGTGGTGCCAACAGCAGGCCAGCCTCTCTTTGATAGTACAGCAGCTGCTGCTGCTGCTGCTGCAGCTTACAACACTCCTCAGTGGGGCATAGTAGACCTTTCTGGCCACCAGCATCTCTTCAGCAGCCTGAAACGTGGGCAGGCTCCACCGCCAGCTGCAGCCACAGTAACTCCTGACAGTCAAGCAGGCAAGGATGATAAGAACTATTTCCGGCGACTGAAATATTTCATCGATCGGCGCTTCCCATGTGGTGTGTGCCAGAAGTCATTTAAGCAATCGTCACATCTTGTGCAACACATGTTGGTGCATACAGGCGAGCGGCCATATGAATGCACCACCTGTGGCCGTACCTATAACCATATCTCCAGTCTCATCCGGCACCGCCGTTGTCACAAAGACACTGAGGATGCTACTGCTGCTGCCAATGCAGCAGCTGCCAACGCAGCGGCTGCCAATGTAGCTGCTGCAAATGCAGCGGCTGCAGCCGCCGCTGCCGCCGCCGCCAGCACAACAGCAGCACCTGGTGCTGAGGGAGCAGCTCAGCCTTCTACCCAAAGTGGCAACCCTCAGGCAGTACCTGCACCATCCGGAGGAACAGCCGCATCTGCCCTCAGTGCTGCCATAGCTCAAGCCGAAGGCCCTTTTACCTGCTCTCTCTGCTGGAAGGTGTTTAAAAAGCCAAGCCACCTGCACCAGCATCAGATTATCCATACTGGTGAAAAGCCATTCTCATGCTCCGTCTGCCAGAAGAGCTTTAATCGCCGTGAAAGCTTAAAACGACATGTGCGGACACACTCAGACCTCTTGCGAGTGCAGTGTGGAGTTTGTGGCAAGGAATTCCGGGATGCCTCCTACCTGCTTAAGCACCAGGCAACTCATGCTCCTCCTGGAACTTTACCTCCACGCCCTGAGTACAAATGTGACATTTGTGGCAAGGGCTATGTGGCTCCCCAGAATCTACTACGTCATCGGCAGCTCCAACATGAGGGTGCCCAGCTGCCCAAGGATGGCACCAATACTTTGCCTTATCTGCCACCAGGGGCCTACCTCCTTCCACAAGACCCACAAGGCACAGGATCTGAGGGAGACACCAAGCCAGCATCATATGGTCTCTTGGGTGCCCACCCATTGCTAGTGGGGACAGCAGCAGGCAAGAATTTCTGCTGTGGGATCTGTGGCCGTGGCTTTGGGCGACGGGAGACGCTAAAGCGACACGAGCGGATACACACAGGTGAGAAACCTCACCAGTGTGCAGTGTGTGGGAAGCGTTTCCGTGAATCTTTCCATCTCAGCAAGCATCACGTGGTGCATACTCGAGAGAGGCCGTATAAATGTGAGATATGTGGGAAGGTTTTTGGTTACCCGCAAAGCTTAACTCGGCACAAACAGATTCACCGGTTACAGCTACCTTGCTCTTTACCACCCATGGGGCCCTCACTGACTCCCATGGGGCCTTCTCTGCCTCCACCTCCCGAGGGACTAACTTATGGCTGTTCTGACTGTGGAGAGCGCTTTCCTGATCTTTTTCATGTCATGAGCCACAAAGAGGTCCATGTGGCTGAGAAGCCATACCCTTGTGATGTCTGTGGCAAATGTTTTGGTTTCATTGAGAATCTCATGTGGCACAAACTTGTCCACCAAGCTGCTCCTGAGCGACTTCTACCACCAGATGAAACAGCAGCAGCTGTCGCCCCACTAGAGAATGGGCTAGCTAGTGGTGACAACCTGGCATCTTACGAAGATCACCACCCTACCTTACCAAGTGGAGAACGTTTCTCCTGTTCTATCTGTGGCCAGACCTTCAAGCATTTCCTGGGACTTGTGACCCACAAGTACGTGCATCTGGTGCGTCGCACATTGGCCTGCTCAGTCTGTGGACAGAGTTTTGCTGGAGCCTATGACCTGCTGTTGCATCGTCGCACACACTTGCAGAAGCGGCACTTCTCTTGCCCAGTCTGTGGCAAGCGCTTCTGGGAGGCTGCCCTTCTCATGCGTCACCAGCGCTGTCACACCGAAGAGCGCCCATACCGCTGTGCTGTTTGTGGGCGTGGCTTTCTGCGCTCGTGGTACCTGCGTCAACACAAAGTGGTTCACACTGGTGAGCGTGCTTACAAATGTGCCCTCTGCAACAAGCGCTTTGCCCAGTCATCCAGTCTGGCAGAACACCAGCGTCTTCATGTGGTTGCCCGGCCTCAGCGTTGCCCTACTTGTGGCAAGACCTTCCGCTACCGTAGCAACCTTCTGGAACACCAGCGGGTACACCTGGGCGAGAAAGTCTACCGCTGTGACCGCTGCTCCAAGAGCTTCTTCTACCTGTCATCCATTCTGCGTCACCAACGCTCCCATGATGCTAAGCGTGAATTAAGATGTGGAGCATGCCTCAAGCTCTTCAAAGACCCCAAGTATTTCAGCAAACACCTCCAGGCCCATCAGGGAGGACGGCCCTTCAAGTGCAGCACCTGCGGGGAAGCGTTCTCCAACACTTACGGCCTGAAAAAGCACCGCCACATTCACAAGATGGAGCGCTTTGCTGCCATGGGGGCCCATAAGGAACAGCCCTAATGTTGGAGTAGTAGCAGCAGAAAGGATGGGCGGTCCATATCTTGGTACTGTAGGATGGGAAGCTAGTTCCAGGTTCCTGTGAGCCATGATGGCAAGGGAGTTCCATGTATAGAAAAATAAGATGTCCTTGTTAGCAGTGAGATGCTCCAATTGGGCACTAATTTGGGAAGAGTCAACAAACCATAAGGTCATGAGCAGGACAAGCCAGGTAGAAGCAAGGATGAATTGTAAAGGTAGGGTGCATAACAAGAGGTAGCCGCCTGTTACCTGCTAGATTTCTGCTGTCTAACATAGTTTCTTGTCCACTCTGGATTTCTTAACTAATTGCCTGGGGAAAGGGAGATGGAGATAGCAATCATAGAAGTGACCTTTGCCTGTCAAGCATGGCTACAGTGTTGGGGGATGGAAGTTTCTTCCTGTTTCTAAGCAAATGGGAACAAATAAGGTTATGGTGGAATGACATTTTTTTCATTTGAAGCCTACATTCTGGAATGGAGCAGAAACCACCCTGCATTCCAATTTACAAAAAGCGATGGTGCTTCCTGCAATTCCTTTTACCTAGAAAGAAATGTTAGAGCCAATTCATTCATTCAGTTTGGGAATGAGACAGGAAAGACCATGATACAGCACTTGAGGAATGTCCACCAATATTTTCTGTAAACCCAACCATCTAATCTGTACTAGGCAAGCCTTGCTTGCATTCTAAGGGAAAGACTTTAATTAGTGTCCTTTCTTCATATGTATAAAGAAAATAGGCTAGTTCTCAGTTTTCTAAGACCTTGGAGGTAGTGAGACATAGCTGTGGACAATAGAAAATTAAAGGAGTCTGCTTGAATTGTCTAGTGTGTGGCACAAGATGTCTAAATGCTGTTGTGCCATAACATTTCTACTATATTCCTGCCTCTAGAACAGTAGCAATTCATGATGCAGCAGCAGGATCACAAAAACTCTACTTACCAAAAAAAAAAAAAAATCTCAAGCCCAGAAGGTTTCTAGCCAAGTCTCTCTGGCATGCCACTTTCCATATTTAGGGAGCACTGAATGTTAAAAAGCATCTGGAATTGTCATTTTTCCCATATACACCCCTGAAGAAACAAAATCCCAGGATAATTGTATTGTGTGGTTTTCTGAATATTGAAGTTGGCCCATCAGGAGTAGAGAGGAAATAGAAAAGTAGCCTAGGCCCCCTCCCCCTTGGGTTCTCTTTTTTGTGCTCAACATTGTAGAATTCTTCCCTAGTCTATCACACTATTGGGCTTAATATAGATGAACTCATATGTGAATAATACCTTACTCTGAGCTCTAAAGTGGAGTGTGGATCTGGAATGAGAGCTGAATGAGTACATTTGCTAATGTTATAGCCTTCCCCTCTGCTCACCACTGAAAGCTGGTTATGAAACTGTGTGTGAGAGAAATAAACTTAATGGGGGCGGGGGGGATCTACATGCCAACCAGGATTGCACATTGCTTTGGCTGCTCAGCTGCTCTCCGGCATTCCCCGGTTTGATCCAGAAGCCCATCCCTTTCCTAGCAACACATTGTACATCCACACAGTTCATTGAGCTAACTGCCCTGGCCTTGAAATTCCATGGTTACTAGAGTTGTACAGTGCTTCAGGTTTGATTCCAAAAAGGTTCTTCAAAGCACAAACGCAGCATCAGGGATTGTGTGATTGCTGGAGATGTCTGTTTAAAAGTCACCAACAGGTGCTGTGTTCATGACCCAAACACTCAGAAGCACCTTATCATAATCAAATCTGAAGAAATGCACAGCCCCGTGGTGTACATATTTGACCTCAGTCTGAGTGGACCCTCGCTGCACCCAAAGTGGAGAATACTGACAAAGCATGAATAAAAAGATCCTTGCAAACTCTCTGGCTTTCCCCAGCACCCTCTCTCCTTCCCTTCCCTATCCCCCTTCAGCAAATTGTAGAAGTTACAGCACACATTTAAATAGACTGGAGGGGAAACTAACTTGCTAGATCAGTGTTTCTCAACCTTGGCTACTTTAAGATGTGTGGAATTATGGAAGTTGTAGTCCAGACATCTTAAAGTGGCCAAGGTTGAGAAACACTATGCTAGATGCAACCAAAGAGTTCTAAAAACATGCTCCCTTGTGTACAGTGGACACCACACAGGTAATTCCCACTTCCTTCCCGGTTTGTAAACCAAGCTGACATATGTATAGTATAGTAGAAAGTAGAAAGTCATTGCAGCATTTCCACTCCAGCAGAGTGAGAGCATATCTCTTATCAGATGGCTGCACCAAAGCTCCTTGCTGCTTTTGGTCTACTACCCACTTGCTCACATCCATAGTTCCCAAATTGGTGAGTGGCAATCAGTGAATATAAGGATCCAAAGATGTATTGTTTAAATTTGGTTGTCCAGTGCCTAGAAGGGAGAAAGTTGCCAAAGGGTTTTTGAGCAGTAGAGAATAGAATTGGACTTTACTGAGTGCAGGTATTTCTCAAGGCAGCCTTCCCCAATCCCCCAGAAGTCTTGGACTGCATTAGCAACAGTTAACCACTGTCCATGCTCAGTGAGCATGTGGGGGAGGGGGAGGGGTAGTGGTGGATAATGGTGTATTTCGGGGGAGAGAGGCACCATTATAAATGCTTTCTTAGAGGAAGTGCTGCAGCATCTGGTGGCCAATTATTAAAAAAGGCTAGAAGTATGATGAAGAGTACAACAAATGAGAAAGGAGATGGGAAGAAGGTTAAAAATGTTTTCCAGCCTTAAACAATTTTCCTATTGGGTCAGCACAGAGGGGGCAAATCACGTGGTCCACTTGAGTCAGCCCAGTTAGATTAATGTTTCTGTCTGAAATATACTGGCTCCTCCTCTGTCTCCAGAAGTGATTGAAACTGGATGTTCCTTTTCTTGTTTTATCTTTCTACTTAATTGTTAAAGGTCTGAACTTGTAGCTGAAATTCAGTGAACTATTCTGTGGTGGTGGCAATAACTCTGCCTGTCTTTTACAGAAACCGTTTTTCCCCATTTAGAATTTTTCTTCCCTGACTTCGTAATTTGCAAGTAGAACTGAATTTAATATTAGTTTCCCTCCTCATGTGTACTGTATCTGCTTTGTAGGATTAGGTATTTCTACATTGTACATTAATTCCACAGAAGCCCCATTGACAGCTCCCCAAACTGGTAATTTGTTCTTACAGGAAAGGCTATTATTGGTTAATGCTACCCATTTCTTCATCTTGGGGAAAAAGTGAGTTCACAATGACTAATCAATAGGTGATGTTCCTGTTGACTGGCTTCATAATAGCTTCCCAAATGGACAATGGAATATAAAGCGGAGAAACAAGTTGATCAAAAACATACTATGTTCCAAAATCGCTAAATATATGCCTTTTTCTCAAGGATACAGGATTTCTAAAGGAAAAAATTGCAGGCCTAGAATGTAGGACACAAATTTCATAATTAATTATGACTCTGGAATGCTTGCTCCAGTCACAGAATTGGTGCAAATATATTTGGCTAGGTCTTGCTTCTTAATTCAGAATGGTGGCCTGTTTCCTAGTCAGGAGACAGTACAGTCATCCAAGTATGTTTATTTTTATGATCTCACTTAAAAGGAATTAATTGACCTTAACACCCTGTATTCTTCCTCCTGTACTTGGCAATCTGAATGTTTGGAAAACAGCAAAAGTGGAAATACATTCACTCTTTCAATGTATACTTGACAAATGAAGAGAAGAAGCTAAGAGTGCAAAATAGCTACCTTTTCTATTTTTCTAGCAAACTAAATACTTAAAGATGGATGGGCAGAGTGTTTGCTACTGGGGCATATCTGATTATTGTTATTGTCAGAGTTATTTGCACCCATTCTTCATCCTAGGAACCATTTGGTTTGTCCAAATCTCTGTCCTCTGTTGTGGTTGAACTTGTTAGCTGGTGCAAGTCATGCACCCCAAAATGTATTACTGACAAACTACCTAGAACCTCCAGTTTATGTAGAAGGTATGAGGAGTCTAGTCAGGTTGAGAGTAAGGGGCTAGAAGACAATATTCCTTGGACAGAGTTATGTGGGAAGAGCTTTTAAGGGAATGGTGGGTTGTTGAGATGAAATAGTCTGGCTTTTAATTGTGGTTGGGAAATTGAGTTCTTTTGAAGAACCAATTGATTTGGGGTATGTGATCAAGAGTGGTCAACCATCTTTTCCAATATACTCTTCTGCCTTGCTTATGTTCTTGGATGGATTGTTAGTCCTGAATGTACATCACTAGGATGCTGGATATCCTACAGATGCCCACCGTCCACTCTGCTTTGTCTGCTGTATACTGGAACTATGAAGCAGAGGACAGGGAAGATATTCCATCTTTTGTTGGCATCAGACCTGATTTTTCTTTTGAGATGCCACCTGATACACAGCCATCTTCTCAGAACTTCTTCAGCCCTCCTGTTCTTTGAGGAACATGGACTCTATAGTTCTGTGACTGGTATTGTTGTCCTATACTCTCCTTCCTCATCCCACAGAGGGAGATGGATGTCTTTAAGACAGGACTTGAACATCCCCTAACTAGTGACAATTGCAAACTCAGAATGAAGAGTGTGCCACTGATAGGACCCAACCCATTGCAATCATGTTAGCTAATGACTTTTTATATTAATACAGATATATAAATACATACATTTCTATATAAATACTTCTTTTTAATACCCCTCCCCCCTTTCCCATTGGCCAGAGTGCAGGAAGTGCAGTTCTTTTGATGCCAAGGTTTATGTCCCTATGATAATGTGTACTAAAATATGTATAGGACCCCATCATTGTCCACACAGCTGATGGGCCTGAATTGATAACCTGCCCCCTCCTCCCTCATTGTACCCCTTGGGAACTGTACAGCGTGTATTTCTCAGTCAGGGGTGGGGGAATGGGAGTGTGTTTGTGTTTTAAGCCAAGCAATCATTTTAAAAGTGTCTGATTTATGATGTACAGACTAAACAAACATTAAAAGAAAAGAATTTGAATATTGTTTGTGCTATGCCAGGTTGTGTTACGAGTTGATGTAAGAGGACTTTCCTTCAAACAATGTGAGTATACTGTTGGAACTAGCAGAGAATAACTAGGTTTATGATTCTTAAACTAATGAAGGCAAAAAGAAAGTAAGTATCTAAAGTAAGCAATGGCAGATGCTTTTGAATCTTGCTGTCCTGTGTAAAAGACAAAAGAAAGCTGCCATTGCTCAACCAGATATATCAAGGTGATCCTGGTACAGACTTCTCTTGTCCTCTGTTGCAGAGAGAAAGAGCTTTTATTGTTCTTCCAGATTTGGCCTGTTTTCTCCCAGCAAATCAGAGCATCCTTTATTTGCTCAAGACCTCTTCTGCGTGTGGGAGGAGCTTTAGATGATATTGTTAGTGTGGAAAGTTTTACATGACACCCCAGAGAATAAATTTCTTTTACGTCACCTTATTCTTAAATTAGACAAATCTGATTTGTATTGCGAGGACCATGTTTAGAAACAATTTAGAAACATCCTCAAGAGGATGGTGAGGTGAGGTGAGGTGAGAGGAAGGTGTCCTGGAAAAATTTGAGGATACAGATTGAAATTGGAGTTCTGGATACATTTTGCATCATGAGACTGGTGACATCGCAAATAACGTCCGTTTGCAGTGCATAAGGAAAATAGCTGAGAATCCACCATGGACATTTTAAAATGTCTATGTTGTGTATAGTGAGTAAATGCAGAATTAAGAATGAATTTTGTCTTAATGAGTTTATAGAGCTTTTTAAATTCCTTTAAAAATGGAACACAACTGTTTCACTTCAATTAACAGAAAGGCATCTAAATTGACAAGAGGATTTGGGTTGGAAATATGTTGGGTAGCAACACACAGGTAGCCAGAAAGGCATTTGATTTTTTTTTTTTAAGGTGGTTCAGTTCTTTTTACATAGCTTTTCAGTCAGGTTTATATGTAAATTTATAGTGTTTGATATAAATTATTTTTTCTAAATTGCTTGGATTTATGAAGTAGGATGTCAAGAAATTTTTATTTTAGCTTTGGATATTTGCCAAAAATACAAGTTTTGGGGAGACATTTTCCTAAACTCCCTTTAAACACAGACATACACATACCAGTTTACTTCATTGGCATAATGTAAGGAATTGTTTTATTTTTATTTACTTAAATCTTTTCCCCATATATTTTTAAAATAAGTTTATACCCAATTGAAAATACAGTCATAATTAAAATGTGTGGGTTGTAACAGCTACATGAAGGGCCATGTATTGCAAAATTATATTCTATACCAACATAAAATAAAGAGTCAGAAGTAAGGCCAATTTGATTCCATGGAAGTTGTGCCCAGGCTAGTAAGTATAGAACTTCAACCCAAACTATCCATTTCCCAGGTATTTTGTTAAGTAAATTTGTAGGTAACTCAGTTTGTATCACATTTTTTCTAGTAATGGGAAACCACAGACACCTGACCCCAGCACTGGCGCTATTCACATAGCATGCTAGCTTATTGTTAACAGAACCATGATTTACTAATTTAATGGATGAGGTTGGATGAGTTCGCACAGCAACTTGCTTTAACCACAGTGGCTGGGTACACACAGTCCATTGAGCCAGTAAGATGGGCACAGCCAGTCCCCAAATCTCCTTTCCCCCAGTCTTTTTTCCATTCCTTGGCCCCACTTTAGAAATTGCACCAGGCATTGTACACATTTTAAGGCTCCTGTTCATTGGCTTGGTTTTCATATAATGTCAAACCGAAACACTGATTTGATTTCTAGACAGTTCCAAACATTAACAGGAATCAGATCCCTGCAACTCAGTCCAAGCGTAGTACCAAACCCAGGATGGCGTTATCTAAATGCATCACAGATCTGCATACTCCTTGCCTTTGCATTTTAAGCTTCCATGGTTATTCACAGTCTGGAATTAGAAACCATAATTTGATTGCAATTTCCAGTGTCTGGTTTACTGTTGTTAAGAATCAGTCAAGAAAAGCAGCATACAACTCTGTGATGTGCCTATGAAATACCAGGTCCCAGGTGACATTCCATTGGAACTGCAAGTTGGGGCACAGATATGCAACCTGGTGGTTTCCAATGATTTGGGGTACAATTCCCCACTATAAACATGCCGATTGGAGTTGATGGGCATTGAATTTCAAAACATCTGGAGGCACTGAGTTGTCTAGAAACTTGTTTACTAAAAATAAACAAGGGTACCAAATTCAGCATTCAGTATGTGAGAGTACATTTCATCCTTGGTTATTGTGTTCTACCTCCCAATGTATGAATTCCTGCTTAAAAACAAAATCAGTGCGGTTTGACACTCCAGAGCTCTTTTTCTGCTACTTTATTCCTGTGCCCCGTGCTGTCCTGCCCATGTAGTCGACGATGCTTGGCAAAGTTAGAGGAGTTATTGAAACGTCGGCAACAGACAGCACATTCAAAGGGCTTCTCTCCAGTGTGCAGCCTCCGGTGAGTGGCTAAGGCTGAGCTCTGAGTAAACCTCTTGCCACAGACACTGCAGCCAAAGGGCCTTTCGCCTGTGTGCACTCGCAGATGCTCCTTCAGATCTGTGGCGCGACGGAACTGTTTGGGGCAGGCAAAGCAGAGAAATGGCTTGGATTCATGGGCAGACTGGGAGTGTCCATCACGGGGCTCAGAATCTGGGAAGAGAAAGCAAGAAGTAGGGCTTTCTTTATCTTTCCTGTGCTGAGCAGTACTTCCAAACTGATCCCGTAAAGAGTGGCCCCTGCAAGGTCCAGAAGCACTGTAAGGTATAGAACATGGATCAGGATTCTCCAATTGCCAAGGTGATCTTCTGGCCTTCAGACTGGGAGAATAGCCTTTGGATTCATCCATTTCTATACCGGGATCTTCCCAGGCTATAATGTCTTTGTCTGAACAGGGCCACATATTTGGTTTCACTGTGAGAATGTTCACCTTTTCTGGGGCACACGTTGGAAAGCCCCCATGGGTGCTACTATCCTGTGTCAGCTCTCTTTCTCTAAAGGCTCCATGGACATTGTTTTGTTCTGGCTCTGAAATGTGGGTATTTTTGCTTTGATTCAGTCCCCTGGCATGGCTTTCCCCTCTACTATTCTGCCTCATCTCTGTACCTGCACTTCCCCCTCTGCTCTGCTTGAACCCTCTGAGGCCATTTGGCCTGCTTACTGCAAAGTCTCTATCAGAGCTCTCTTGATTCAGCTTGCTAGCAGAGCCCCTGTTGTCCCCAGCTGGCAAAAGGCCTTTCCCACAGCTGCTGTTCTCTAGCTGTAACTTGCCATTGCAGCTGTCAACCAGTTGCTTCTGTTCTTGCTGAATGGGGCTTCCTCCTGCTCTGTTTTGCCTTGAGTCATCAGTGTGATTTTCAGTGCTTGCATCTTGCAGTTGTTTGAAGCTGTGGCCATTTGGAATGGCTTCTCGGCTGTCGCCGCAATTGCTGTTTCTCCCTAGTTCCCCAATACGCCCTTTGCTATTGCTTGCCTGCTTCAGAGCGTCTATGCTGAGACTGGCTTGGCTGCCTGGCCTTATAGCAAGATCAATACCAGGACTGGCATCATCCTGTCGTAGTCCCGTTCTTTTGAAGTTATCCATGCTACCACCTGGTTGTCTCTGGTTGCGATTGCAATAACCCTCTTGGCTTAGTCTATTATTATAAAAGCAGTTTTGCCTCCCTTTAAGGTTTTGATCTGCCTTGTCCTCGTCTTCTCTCAACTCTTTGGTGGCCTGACAGCTGTTTTGCTTCGACAGAAGGGTAGGGCTTAGACTTCTGTCATCCTTTCCTTCTTTAATTTGATCCAGTTTCGTTCCAGACAGGGAATCACAGTCCTTCCCATCAACTCTCCTTTCGCTGTAACCAAATGGTGGGCCGTGAATGCGTTGGTGCTTGCGGAAGTTTGAGCCATTATTGAAAGATTTAAAGCAGACGCCGCAGTGGAAAGGCCGTTCGCCAGTGTGAATGCGCATGTGGCCAGACAGCACCGAGCTCTGAGTGAAACGCTTGCCACAGATGCCACATTCATATGGCCTTTCGCCCGTATGCACCCGTTCATGATCACGCCGGTCTGAAGCCCTCTTGAAGCGTTTAGGGCAGAAAGAGCAGCTGAAGGGCCTCTCAGCTGGGAGGACCAAAGCGTCAATACTGCTAGACAACCAGCTCTGAGGCTCTAAAAGGAGGTTTCTGCACCCCTGACATTGGGGAATTTGCTCGTGGGGCCCAGCAAGGTTTGGCAGGTCATCCTGGCACAGGGGACATGCAGTGGGTAGAACTGATCCAATCTCTTCCTTCACTGTTACTAGCTGGATCTCCATTAGCTAGTCCCCATCAGCCGAGTATTAGCTTCCCAGCATCTGTCCCTGAAGGAGGCAGAAAGGGAGGAATGTCAACTGCAAGAACAGAGCAGATCAAATGATATAAAACTCACTAGCCAGGGCTCAAATTACAGGGGGAATAGGGGTCCAGCTGCTTATTTCCTGATTTTAGAAAACTAAGTAGGGTCAGAGTGAGAGAAGCACACAGTCTGATCTGACAAGGAATGTGGCATCCAAATTTGATTTCCTCACTCATTCAAATGCATGCTGTTGTATTTACTCATTTAGGTCAATGGATATCTATGGAAAAAATCTATCTATGTGGTTGCTAGGAGTCCAAAATGACTTGATGGCACATAATCAATATCTAATGAACCTCAACAGCAATATCAATGTAACAAAATAATGGATCTCAGCTAAAAATTATCTTGCTCAACAGATGACAGCACCCAGCCAACTTTGTCCAGGCTCAGATGTTAAGCTGGCCTAATCATGGTTAATACATGGATGGGAAGCTCCAGGGAATCCCAGAGCTGCAGGCTAGCATGTTGGAAGAAGGCAATAGCAAATAACTTCCACACTTGCCAGGAAAACTGCATGATTGTGTGTGTGTGTGTGTATCCATTTAGCCCCCAGGAGTTGAACACAGCCCAAGGGTATTTTTCCCCTGACCTTTTTACAAAAAGCAGAGTATCATGGCGAAATCAACAGCTGCCAGAATACGTTTTTAACTAAAGCCAACAATGACAAAAAGCATCAGACAAATCTGGGAAATGTGTTCTTTGTGCTGCCACAAAGTAAATTCCTTTTTGCATTTCAACCCAGAGCCATAAACTGGGCTCCACCACGGGCTGGGTTGACACATCTAGGCTGAAGCCAAAACCAAATCCTATTAAGGTTCAGCACATGTGTGAGCCCTACTTCTCTCTGAGCTGGATGGGGTAAGGTGTAAAAACCTCTCGCACCTCAACAAGGAAGCCTGTTGAGAATCCCAACTATGCTTCCCTCAAGCCAGGTGCCGTCAACACTACAATTCCTATCATTCGCAGCCAGGAAGCCACAGGCCTGACTCGGAGTTGACCAAAGGGTCTTCATTTGTGCCTCTGATACTTAGAGGTTGAAGCAGGCTGGGCTACAGAGACTCCCTCTCTCCCAGCCCAGAAAAACGGAGCAGGAGGGTAACCTTTGAGAGCACTATACTGAATTCAGAGTGAAGAACAGCAGAATCCTTTTTTAACTAAAGCAGCTTTTGAACATCCAGATTCCTCCAGCTGCTCAAACTGGTTGAGATTTTCCTCCCCGACTCGGCAAGGCCATTTGTAATCCGTGCTTTGCCCAACAGGGTCTTCCAAATGTGTTGGACTACAACTCCTATCACCTCCCAGGCAGTTCCCTAAACCTATAACTACGGAGCCTCACCCTGCTTCTAGCAGACCCTATCCCTAACCCTCCAAGAAAGCCTGAATCTCTGAAAATCGAGGAACTCAAGCTGCGTCCTCCAACCTTCCTGGACAACCCGTGTCCCCCACTTCACCCCCCCCCCGCCTTTACTTGCACAGAAACCAGGTGTTCCGGGCCCGGCTGCCAGGAGCACACGCGTCGCCGTCCCCCCACCCCCGGATCCGCTATCTTCGTCCGTGAGATCGGAGGGCGCGGAGAACAATAGTCCGGAGCCGGCGAACCTTGCGCTAGCCGCGAGAGATCGGCTGGTGAGGTTGGGCGGCAGCGTGTGCCCGGTGCCAGAGACAAGGAATGCCCCTCTCTCTTACGCTCCTGCTGCAAGCTCGATTCACTGCCCCCGATTCACTTCGGATTCTTTGTCCCCAGCGGCATGGAAGTTCCGACTCATCCTTGGGCACCGCACCGGAGCCTACCGCGCCGCTGCATGCCCTCTTGCAGGACGGGTTCTCACCTGTACCTGTTTATTCACTTTAACGCAAAGCTCTTTGGCCCCAGCTCTGTTTCCAACTTTCAGCTTCCTTCACTCCGTGAACAAGCGGTGGGAGAAAGCTCTCCCCCGCCCCGCTTCTCCTATTCTGCCCATTCTCTTCCCATGCACGCGCATCCCCTTTAAATGAAACCAAAAAAAGAAATTAAAGGGACTTGCAGAGTCGGTTCCCATTTTTTGCCGGCCGTCAAAAACGCAACCCCCCCCCCCAATTTAAAGGCACAAGGCA